AAGGCATCTTTTATGAAGTTATTCAGTTTGTCCAGGGCTGGTGGGGTTGTACTATCCCTACGGTATTACAGCCACTTGACACTTTTTTTTTTTTTTCCAAACCATGTTACTTTTCTGGAAGAAAAGGCTACGTGTGGCTGGGACCCAAAGCTTCAGCACGATCTATAAAAATATAATTCTTTAAGACCTTCTCCTCACATCCTGAAGGCCTCCACAGCCAGCCCCCAAAGTCTGCTTCCCACCCCCACCACGCTGCAAATAAAGCTTCAACACACACGCACACAGGGTACACATATTACACTCTTCTACACACAGAGCTGAGTTTCTAAACAGCAATGCAACCACAAGGGCAACAGGTAAGTACACACGACGTCAGTGGTAACATATGGCACAGCCTTCTCCTACTGCTGGGTGTCCCTATCTGAATGATGCGCTGCCTTGCTCACCGCTCCGCACACTGCGGATTTAGCACTGTTACTTGCACTGCGGAGGCAAAGAGTCAAGAATGCGCGCTTATTTAGGAGCATACTTGGGAGCGTCCCATTTGCCTTGAGGTCCATCGCTGCTGGAGCAGTAAAAGCACCGAAGCGGTGGCTGGTGGTGCTGGGGCTGTCACCCAGCACTGGTTTCGGGGCTTCCCAGTGAAGTGGACGGGAGCTTTCCTAGGCTGTTGAAAGCCAAACTGCGTTCTTCCCTTCTGGACAATGTGAGAACTAGCTTGGGCTCTCCCGAAAAAGCGCGCTGGCAAGAGTGGCTCCCTCGCATTCTGCGTTCAACGCCCTTTGCCGGGCGCTTAGGGTGCACTCCACCAGTTTCTGATCGAACCTCATGGATTTACCTTAAATCTGCTCCCACACACATGTATAAACTCGCTGTGTTACTCCTGTATTTAGAAGAGAAGAGTTATTTTCAGGGCTGCAACCAAACATCTCAAAGCTCAGTTTCCACGGTTGATGCGCATCTGTAATGGACGTGGTTTAGAAAGCGACAGAACTGTTTGGACGTAGGCTCTCACCTCCCACAAGCAAATGTCTTTCATGAGGAAGAGCTCTCTGCATAACCCTATCCTGTGACTCCAGGAGGAGTTGAGCGACTCATCAGTGAGCCAGCAAGGCTGCAATGGGACATAAAAGAAGGGCTTGTGTTTCCCTTTAGGAAGAAATATTTTGGTTTCAGAGTGACCAAAACTTGTAACGCTTAGGCCTCAGCTTCTAAAAGTGCTCTTTAAATGGGCAAGGACCTTCCCTCAGGAGAGGTGAGTTTCTTTAGTATCAGTGGAAGCCAAACTTCCCCAGGGGGCCCAAGCATAACGATGTAGCGCCTTCTATAAATATAATTCTGTAATAAGCAGTGCTCTCATTAAAACTAGATACCCGCTCCCTCCCTCTTGCAAGATGCTGCCATAGCAGAGCGACTGCAGAGGGCTGACAGAAGCGCTTGTTCTGACACGCAGGAACAATTGTTTCCCGCTGCACAGCCTGGTATGCTCTGACCGACGCAGCAAGGTAAAAATTGCTCCGTGAAGGGGAGCGCAGCTGAACGAGAGACAGACCTCGAAACGAGCTGTGGTTCTTATTCCAAGCTCCTCTTCTCACCCTGAGTGCAGGAATAAAGAGCACAACACAGAGAGGTCCTACACGTTCAAGGAAGAGCATACATGAGCAGTGGTGCAGAATGCCAGTAGCTGTCTTCCCATGAACCTTCTTTTAAAGAAAAAAACAACAAAAAAATCCCAACCCAAAAAGACAATGAGGATGTTATTCGCTTCCATGTACCAACTACCTAACAAAGAGATGATTCCAGCGCACAAATGTACGCT